AAGAAAGGTAAGTCCTGGTCATCTTAAGTCGTGGGTCGTGGGATTGCAGCCTATCCCAATACCAAGAACATTTACTCGGAATCTGAGTTTTAGGATGTCATCAGTTGTGTGGTTTGTGATAGATGGAAGTGACAAACCCTCGAGTTTTACTGTCTCATTCACGTTTCTTAGGTTGACGAGAAAATGATCAAAGCATTTGGCGAGCAGTTGTTTCGTAGCGGTTTCATTCACGGCGATCCTCATCCCGCCAATGGTAAGTAGTTAAGTGATTTGAGTCCATTAATATCGCATAAAGGGGGTAAGTTTCTAACCAAACTGTGCTGCTGCGTCCATGGGGGTAACAAGGTAATTTGGTAATATCAACTAAGTTGAAATTGTAAATTGGCCAGCGTAAAGAGTTAAAAAGCTGACGTTTCGAGCGTTAGCCCTTCGCTCTGACGAAGGGCTATTTGCATGGTAATTAGTTGACATTACCAAATTATCTATATCGCGGGCTCATTCCTCTCGAAGCTTTTCTCAGTTTCTCTGTCATGAAGTGACGTGGGGTGTCCCTGCGATTCCTGGATGGGATGATAGAGTCCCTCTCCTCCCCTTCCCCCCTCCCCCATAAGGAGAATTTCCATTCGGAAATGTTTTAAAATGCCAGTCAATTGTAGAATACTAACGCACTCTGGTCTCCGTTTCTAATACTGTTAGAGGAAGAAACAGTGTGAGTGCCCTGTGTCTTGCGAAAGATTACAATTCTAACCCATCCAATAGTCCTGAAAAGTTGTTCCAGAGGCCAAAAATGCTGAACTTATGATTCGAAACTAAATTAATTGACACGTAACATCCGCGTGGCCAATTTTGTAGGATAATTTTGAACTAAAATTTGAACTTTAAAATTAAAATTGCAGCTCGCTGCAGCACCCTCTTCCCCCATTCAATGCTGAACTGAGAAAATCACAAAATAAAGAATTGCCCCTTTGTGAAGGGGAAGACGGGATAAAACTGAAGATGACGGGGATGAGATTGGCACGCTTTTTCTTTCTTTTTTGTGTTTTTTTTTTCGATCTCAATAATTGTCAATAATTTTGTATCGGATTGTAGCCCCCTTTGCAGACTTTTAAATTAATGATAATAAACTAGAGAAAAAAAA